ATGATTTTATTGCGTCACATGTGAGCTTTACAGATTTTTTTTTGAAGCCCTAAGAGAGTAAAATATAGATTGCTAATAAAGGCGCCAGTTCGATAACTTTTTATTAGATTTGTTCAAATTCCTGCTCCTGAATGTAAGACGAGAATTTATTCCTTCACAATTGAAAGCATTTTGATGCTTTCGAGAAATGAGGGCGCTGCTGCTGTGCTGTAAAAATGGGGAGGACACTCAAATAGGGTTAGTGAAAAACAAACGTGCATTTTCAATGATTTCATTTTAAAAATTACAACTGCGTGGACCCTTGAGTCCTCTCCGCGAAACTGCGAGGGACAGGAGACCCGCGAAATGAATACCATCCCACATTATTTTTTAACTCAATTAAGTTCTTCAAGTGAAAGCATAGTCGTCAAAATTTACCTCATTTCTTCGTAGTTTTCATCATATCTCACGCATCCGCTTTTTGGGGGAGAACGGATGACCTCAGACGCACAATAAAAGCTACAGCCCATGAAAAACAATTTCTTGACATCATAAAATCTTAACCCTATTGGGTTGGGGATTTAGTATGCTTGAAAATCAAAGTTTCAAACAATGTCTTTGCCACCCGTATAAGCGCATGGTTAATGCTACCACGTATTGAAGTGTTATGAATGTGTATTCGATTTTGCCTGTTTCAATGCACCAGTGCATGCTCGAACGCATCGACTGCAACATTAATACGTCCATCGGGCTATAATGCAATCCAAATCGGTAAATTCTGCTGGTAGTAATGAAACGCGCTCATTGGGAAGGTATATAGAATTACTGGGATTATGACTCCACAACTTAAACAGTCGTTTTGGAACATAGCTCAGTACACTAGTCAACATCATAGATTGGAATTCATGAGTGTTGTTTGTAAGTCCACATTTCAAAATCTACTTTATAATCGAGACTCCATTTGCTCGTCCTCCTTTCCTCTTACAGAGCCCTGGGAAAGGGGAAAGGGCAAATGTCTTTCGCAAAATCTCGCTGAGGAAACAGCGTAATGCATTGTGGGTTACAATCAACACATGCCCTGTACATGCATGTACATGTGCAGTGCATTCAGTGCCCGTTCAATGCCCAAGTTTTGACCCGTGTTATTGTTCAATTTCAAACGAACTCTTAATCCGTCCAATGTGTACTCGATAAAAAATGAAGTCATGCATTTGCACTCCATACGCTCCGCAGTGGGAGGCAACTTGCGAAGAGACCCTCAGAAAGTCTTTACTCGCTCTCATGATTCACATAGATATCCTTCCCCGCCCCTCATTGGCCATGCGCGGCATGAATTAATAGAACATCAAAAGTAACAAACACGGGCGTTCCCTTCATTCTTCGGAACTAAGGTAGTGAGTTGGTTTACTTTAAATTCGTTCCCTTACACAGGCGTATCACCCTGGCGAGATTTTGCCTTAAAAGAGAGAAAGAAATGAAGAGGAGATGTAACTTTTCCAGACGGTGTTTTTTTTCTCCAGAATTTGTGCTCATTACTCCCAAAGCCGGATACCCCACCACTCTTGCATTTGCAAATTCCAACACAGATGTATATTCATGAGCTTGGACTTACCATAGCCATGTGTCTCTCCGCTCGTCGTTCAAGAATAAATATTTGCCTCTTGCTTTTCCCTTCAGTATGGGCCTCACATATACCTGTAAGCAAATAGTGGTGGGCCCAAGGCACCAGTCCCAGTCTTGATTTCCTTGTCTTGATTCACACTGTATACTGCATGTGCAGCTGCCAAGCTGCGCCTATATCGAAACCTGTCCCTTCCGTGTGAATGTACTGTTTACTAGACTGACATCATCGCACAACACATGCAACCACAGCCGCGTGACTTGCTAACTGCAAGGTCATTGGAGAGGAGGGATCACGTCCAACTAACCACCATTTTCTTGTTATTAATGAAGCTCAGCTGCAAGGTGGCCTATTTAAAATTAAATTCATTTGATTTTATAATTTAGTTCCAAATTGCTTGGACTGAATCCCTCAAACGGGGTTTCCGTGCTACATACATGTTGAGTAATTTCTACGGATATAAATGCTTTGTGAAAAAAACCCAAAAACAAAACGAACGCGGAATAAACGTCTTTTTCGCGCCCTATGTGACAAGTCCTCATTTTCATTTTATACACTGCATTATCTTTTAGCATCTCTAAAAGTTTACTCCATAACTTTTCACCCATAGGCAACAGTACATTTAAAATGGACGGGGTGAATTAAAACGCCTCCAGCATCCAGTACACCGTCACCAACAGGTGTTGATCGGGATAATCACAAATCTCTTCTTTCTGGCCTGCATCGAGGGGGCGCTATGATCCAGCCATCTTCAGAGCTGTTTATACTGAGGAAGAGTTGCGACATTCGGGTCTCCATGGTTGGAACCAAAATGATGGATTATACGTCATTGCACGCTGACAATCAGCACACAAGAGCTGCATAGTGAACTGCTGCTACGTAATGAACAGCCATTTTGGTTCCAAGGTGTGGTAAGTTGGCGCTACTCTCCGATGGACAGCTCTGGCCAAGTTGCTGCGAACCAAACAGGACATGACAACTTCCGAAAGAAATATAAAAAAAGTTCGTGAAGGCGAACTTGAACAAGGAAAGGGCACACCACAAGGTGGGTTCGGACAGTATTTCAAATAATACGGGCGATTAACAATAGTGCGCCTCCAAGAGTTTGCAACGCGTTGGTCAATCACGATGCGCGAAGGCTGTCGACCCAATGCGCGTTTGGAAAGGGTCGACAAATTTAGCGCGTTGTGATTGGCCAACTGGTTGCAAACTCTTGGAGGCGCACTATTGTGAATCGCCCGTATTATAGAAAGCTTTTCTTTTATAATCTGAGTGGGTTTGGGCATGAGTCTCAGACGGGGACGCAACTCATACAACGTTTTCAGGAAAGATGTTCATGAACAGCAAAGCGGGGGGAGCTGTTTGTCATATTCAACCGAAGGGCGAGGGGCAAATCATTATCGCAGGAGAAGCAAAGTCCGAGGCATTTTGTATTCTTCCCGTTTCCTCTCACTCTTTCCGTTCCCTGTCCCCGGCCTCCTTTTCTATATTGCCCTCCTTTTCAAGGAGAGAGAGAAGGCCCACTCTCCTGACGCCCATGCAGCTGGGTCCGCTGGTAAAACTACTCTCCATGCCAACCCTTAAGCCCCAGTCGAAATGGCGTGAGAAACGGTGACAACTCGAACAAAGTACTGCTCCAACCCTAAAAAAAATCTAGCAAGTCTATATTCACACGCAGCCTTTTTGGGAACGGTTGTAATAATCGTCATAAACGCATTACGAATGGGACCCCAGGGCCCAATTAATTATTTCCCCAATGTATTGCGTGAGCAACTAATTCGAAGTCATCAAACATTGATGACTCTTTCGCCCATGACCACTGCACAAAAGCCAAAGCAATGGTGTGAAGTTCATGTATCTAGCCAGCTGAGACAGGACGAAACCTCACAATGTCAGCACGCCACTTAACTGAAAATCGTCCAAATCAAACTGCACTCTGCTTGCAGACGATATGCAGACTGTTGACCAATCAGAAGGCTCGGTTAGTTTGTGCTTTTCAGCGGGGTCGCATAAGGGCTTTGCATGGTAGCCATCTTGCAGGGCAGCTGTTTTGTTCTACAAGGAAACCTCCTTTGCGCATACCCTGTGCATCCATGCAAACCCTCCATGAAGCGACAATGCTGGCTGCATCATTATCCCGTACCAGTATCAAGCATCATGTCCCTGGTGGCAAACTTGAAGGATTTCCTTTTAAAAGCTGTCAGATGTAGTCACGTTTCAATGCGATTATCACGTGTCAAGGAAACAAGGTAGGTTTAAACCTACATTCATAAATACCCGGGACACTTTTTCTATTCCTGTTGGTCGAAACCGTCACGTGACCATATATTAACATGCCGCTGCGAAGTGATAAATCACGCGCTAGCACATGTGGATACGAGACAGTTTAATCGGGTCTGATCACAGACCGCCAGTCTTGCGCGTAAAACCGTGATTTTGAAAAGTATGGGCAAACAATGAGCGAAGCGAGGGATGGCAGCTCGTCCAAGCGCAACGCACTTACATTGCCTGTTTTTGTTTATATGTGCTCCCAAAACGTGTTCACTTTTTTTCCTCTATTTTACTGCTAACTTTTCTTTTCAGATGTTGCAACTGCACTGTTTTGAATCTCAGGGGCCAGATTAAGTAAATAGAGAGCTTTTGCAATCGAAAATGGCTTCAAAGAACTTTGTGACTGGAATTCTTCAACTATGCATAAATTCCCTATACCGAGGGCGCCGCCCAGATCACGAAAAAAAACCCTGTAGTTTTGAATAGGGCCTGGCGGTCTATGGTTTATATTATAATGTCTGTGGGTCTGATTGGTCAGGAGCCTGTGTGCACACGACGTGCCACGCGCGCCAATTGCAAGTCCATTGAAGGGGATTCTCTTGGACAACCTTCAAAAGGAATATACCATAAAGTGGACAGAGGTGTTCGGGAAAATGACAGTAAAATTTTAGAACAGAATCGTTGGAAATCCATCATATATTGACTTCTTTTGACTCTCTGAATAAAAAGGTATTTATGAATGGGAATAAATATGTGCTTGGCCTGTCTTAAATTAATGTTTAAGACCTTGCTCAGGAGAACGAACGCGGATAATGCCCTCGCTGGCGGCTAGGCGAGTCCATTCTCCTGAGAGAGCCAAGCACGTATTTATTCTATTATGTATGTTTTTAAACCCTTGAACTTTGTACATCAACGATAAGTGTATTTATACATATCCATGTTATATGTTATGTTGGAGACGTAGGTAAGAAAAATGAAAACAATGTCGCCGCATAATCCTTTCCGAAGATGGTGATCTGCCATTGATCGCAATCATGTTGTAAAGAAGGCAATGCTAAGCGGTGTTCGTTTATACCATCAGACAGTGAGTCAATTTTGCTGATACGGACAAAAGAAGCCTTTCTGAAAATTCCTTGATTCCGCTGACAAAGTTTATTAGTTGGCATTTCACGAATAAATTTTAAACTACGATACAGGTCTGACTGCAATACCAAAACGTGAAGCAAACTGTGACTAAAAGAAGCTTAACAAAAATATAAACTTGCAAATGTAGGCCTACATCTCAATCTTACAAGTATTACAAAACATTTTAAAATGAAATAAAATACGAAGCTGAACACTGTAACATAAAAACTTGATTGCAACTTCAAAAAAGAAACAAGTAATCAACAGTTATTAAAATAAATCTAAGTAGAGGTCTTTGACAGATGGCAAACTTTAAGTTACAAAGAACATCCCGCTGGCAAGGTTCTAGCCTCCGAAACTCTAACTGCTCATAAGGCCAACAGCCACTTAACGCGCACTGTAAAGGACTACTGTGGCTGATGACACAAGGATTACTTCTAAACATACATTGTCACAATTTCACTGGCACAGTAACTGTCCGTTGACTGCTACTATTGCTGTCAATTAACGGTCACAGTGCTGGCCTCCAAAGGTATACTGTGACCCTCTCTGACAGATTATTGCCGACACCAGCAGCCGCAAGCACCTTCTGGGTCTCTGTTAAACTCGGACACAACTGCAAGTCAACCACCAGTCGCCACGTAGTGCTTTCCACCAATCATGTGTGTGGCATCTTTCATATACACGAGACCTCTGTTTTGTCCAGTTTTCTTTCTTCTTTTTGAAAGTTGTATTCCCAAGGTTTAAATTTCCTCGGCATAAGTACATTTTTCTGAAAAAACAACAACAAACAAACCGGTTTTGAACCTGAATACAATACAATCTATACGTGGAATTAACTTGGTTAAAAAATCATGTAACACAAAAGCTGACCAACAAAACCAATGTAGCAAAATACAATTGACACCATAGAATAATTCTACTCAAGTATATACACAGGTTTGCTTAAACTTTGCACCAGTTTGCACAAACAACAGAGCGATAGATTTACTTCAACCGAAAAGAAAGTATCAAGGTAAAAACACTTCAGTACATAAAAAGGTTTCGTATGACGGAGTGAGCCATAGTTAGAGTAACCACACAACATAATTCAATGTGCCTCCAACATTACAAGTTAATACACGAAATCCATATAAAGATATACATTTATTTTGTTTTACCATATGAAATAAGTACAGTAAAGAAAATAAGATTTCTACAGTTAAAAGTTTCCAAACCTAATTTGAGCATGATACTTTTTATTATAATACGAGTTGGATTTTTGTGGACAGGTCAGAAATCTTTTAAACGTCCAGTGAACAGTAACCTATGTTATGTAATTTGGAACACAATGATGCAAGTACAAGCTTTGTTTGGTCTGATGCCACTGTTTCAAATAGGTGAACAGGTCAAACTTACTAGGACGGTTTGATTTACAGCCTATATGCTAAATATGTTACTTCAACGGTATATTCGAGATATCACCATGCACTGCACGACAGCATAACAGACATTGTACATCAGTTTTTTCCACTGTTTGTTACCACTAACATCCAAAACGAACTCTCGATAGCTGAGAAATTTGGCCAGTATTTCTGTATTATCCAGCGAATTGCAAGTACTGATTAATCCGTGAACATTTCGAAGACATCATTTCTATGCCAGTAATCGGTCATTATTCCAAATCAGCAATTTCATCATAATAAAAGACTTTTGCATTTATGAATTAATGTGCAATAACTCGAAATTATTCATACGGTAAAGGTTGGTAATAAATGCCTCCATTTAAAATTTTTTCAAAATACATGTAACATGTATCTTAACACCGCTGTGATATTATGGCAATAACACTATGAATGCACACTCTTGAAAAAAAAAACCGGCAAGAGTGGAATAAGCACCAGGATGGGAAAAGCAAGCCTCAATCTAAAGGTTCCAAAATAAAGTCGATCAATAGTATATCTGTGTATTCCCCTATTGAATCTGGAAATTCCTTCCAATGGATTCTCCCAAGAATATCTACATCTCTTCATTTTCACAAACCCTGTGAAAAAGTTACTATCCAATACCACACTGTAGTTGTACACATAATATATATATACAATCTAACAACCTTTTTATGTGGCCACTTGTGAATAGGCCTATCCCTTCTACATTTCAAAAGCTTTGCTCTAAGCCAGCACACCCTCAGATCTCATTTACGACATTGCTACTTTTTGTACTTACATGCATGGTCTCTATATAGTTTTATTCTCTAAGTACAGTCGAACCTCGTTAACAAAAGGTCCTTCAGACTTGACAAATGACCTTGTCATAACAGGAACCTTGTATTATCAGAAATTCAAGCAATAAAAAATGAAAGGATTGGGACCTCAAAATGTTCTTGTTATAAGCAGAATCTTGTAGTAACAGTGCTCTTGTTAACGAGGTTCGACTACTTGTGCATCTCATGCTCAGTAGTTGTAGGAACCGCATTCCAGTTGTATAAATGACGTGAAGACACATAATACAGCGTATCCCACAACCTGGCCCACAGAGTGTAATTTTGTTAAAAAATCTCCACCACCCAGTTCAAGTCTGAGCAAAAATCGGACATACAGTTATTTATACATTTTAGTAATACTGATATCTACAGGTAGCTAGTGAAATAGTACATGATTGTGACCGACCCACCATTCAAAAACCAGGCTGATGAACGATAAGCCATAATCTGGAAAATGACATCAATACACACAAACAATGCAAATACCATACTTTTCATTGCCCGTACTTACTTTGGATGACTTAACAAAATAAAGTATGAAACTTAACAGCAGAGAAAACTTGTCAAACATCAACATTATCCACTTCAGTCTGGTTTGGGGTTATTCTGTCAAAATTAAATTTCAGATTGTAACAGTTACAAAACTGAGAGTTGTTTATTCAAAATGCTCTGAACCCCTTGCATAATACAGAAACATACTCTCAGTGCTCTCCCGAAAATGACAGCAAAAACGGTACATCGTCGTCAGTGTACTTAGGACTACTTCAGCAGAATGCTACACTCAGCAGCCATTCAACTTATCACATCCATTTCTGCACTATTCTCATGCATAAACATGAGCCTGCACGCAATGCAGCCCTTCTGATTTGATAAAAAATCACGGAAGTGCAAAAAAACGGTGTATCTGGATTTCTCTAGGCATGTGGTTTAACACAAACTATGTATGTGATTTGTGAAGAGCGCAGACGCTCGGAACAGAGGAACTCTGGCTTGCGATTATTTGCAATTATTTCTGGGGAGCTATGTATTTAGGTGTGTATTGGTGTGGAGGTGTGATCACATGCGTCCTTCCTGGGCACTGATAAGCAGGCGAGCACAACACAATACCATCCACAGCTCACACAAAAAGAGACATCCTTCCACAGCATCAAACCCTCGAACCGATATTTCAAAAAAGCAAGGTCATCAGGAAACAAAGCAGGTGTGCAAGTCCACGTAGGGTGGGGCTGATAGGACAGACCTTTTGGGCATGCTCTGTTAGAATATCAAACTGGCTCAGTTTAAAGAGGTGAAAACTTAACCCGGACTTTTTTCCTGGAAAAAGGAAAATTGTTAATGCCCCCCATTGTTCTCAAAGTTTCAGTGAGGTATCATAAAAGACAAAGAGAAAGAATTAACATGAACTGTTCACATTGTGATTTTTTTTTAACTGTTTGTGTCATTTGAATGTCACCTCACTGAAATCACCATGGATTTGACATTAGTAGCATTTGCTGACTGAGAGTGAATTTGGTACAATGATCAGCACTTTCTTTACAGAACAAAGTGTCATCGAAACTTTTTCAAGGTTCAACTGCGATAAAATACGGACTTGAAGGATAAAGTTGCTGACAATCAAACTCATCAACAGTCAATCTGTTTAGTTTGACCTAGTACCTACATATGATCAAAAATGATCCAAGCTCATTGGAAACAACAGGTGAATAATTGATTGGCATGGTATGGTACCCTGTCTTCTGTTGCAATGTGAATACAAGAGCTCACGGTCAAGCCTCGGCTATCTGGTATTCCCTGCAGAGGCTGGCCTAGTGTTGGCTTTGAACCACTCCGTCACCTCCACCCTGTGAGCCGACAGCCAGTCAACGTTGGCCTGCATGTTCTCCATTGCCTGCTGTACTGCTCGCTTTCCACTGTTGGAATCCAAGTGATCCAAGAAGAACTTGGAAGCCTATGGGGGGGGGAACCAACCATTAACTAGTATTGCATGAATCACTCAAACTCTCTGAGATCCGATGACATTTACTAGCAGGTTTTAGAACGTTTGCAATGTTAAGACCTTACCCATCATGGGCGTTGCCAGGATTCTTTTTGGGGGAGGGGCGACAAATTAGCTAAGCAGAAACTGACAAACATTTAAACATTTTTAAAAGTAAAAGGAGATCGGGTATTTTCTATGAACTATTGGCCTTTTTTCTCCTGTTCTCTTTTGTGCCCGTTTTTATTTTTCATTTTTTCCTGGGGCGGGGTTGGGGTACATTGGGGGCATGATGCTGCTCATAAGTGTAAGTTCACAGAATGAGCGCCTTTAAGGGGGAGAGAGTTCATGAAAGACAACTTGCGACTTTCAAATTGTTTTCTTCTGTATTAGGTAAAGTTTCCTTTTGGGAGGCGTAAATTCCTGGACACAGAAATTAACATTGCAGTCACCTGTAGACTTCTGAACAGCCTGAAAAAACACCCATCCCCAAATTATCCACCTACATCCCGAACACAAACTTAGGCCGTGTCCGAAATGGGCTTCCAGAGCTACGGCTAGGTCTATTGTCTACGCGTTTCCAGGGAATTCTAATGGAGCGAAGACCTAGACCTAGCTCTAGACAAGAGATTCGGATGCAGCCTTAGAATTATTAGAACACAGACTACAAAAATTTACCTCTTCGTACTCAAGCTTCCTTGAAACACTTGAAGTCACTGCATGAATGATGTACGATATTTCAAAAGGACTGCCTTCAAACCTGTGCAATGTCAAATAAAAAAATTGCGCCTTACAGAGGAGAAAAACTAGGCCACTGACAATTGTGTTGATCGCTTCTTGGTATAGAGTCTGAATATTCTCATTAGAGAAATTAGAAAACATGCAACGTAAAATCTTGATGGTGTTCATTCTACGCATTAAAAAGAAGTCTCCTTAAAGACAAGTGAAATTTCCCATAGCCACATTTAAATGGCACTTGAACAAACAATAGTATTAATTACAGGCAAAACCCACAATTGAAATTAACACCTCCCCAACGCAAAGTACATCTTGAAAACCAATAATAGACTTTTCCTTTTTTTCTAGAGGTACTACTACGAAACAAAGAGAGGTGATTGGACAAGAAAATAGCGTTTGTCCTGCCGAGAACTCCATGTTTCACAAAGCTTTTCTGTACAGAGGTACTAGTCTTGTACAAGAGTTGTAGCTGTGAAATGGTTTTTAAGACACCTGTGACATGTATGACTGCTTGAAAAGAGGCTACAGAAGCTTGGATGTATTCGTTCTACAAACCTCTCAATTATAGTGTCCCAGTTCTCAATAACGAATGAGAGGGCAGGATATGCCCCAGCTGAATGGCCAGCAATGCTAGAGATCACAGTCCCAGTATCTTGGCTTTTAATCTTATCCTCATTCATTGACCAGTGAAGATATCTGTGACAGAAAAACAAAAATTAAACACTGCTTGCTGAATTTTCACCTTGGCTGTCAGAACTTGTACCTTTGACCCCAAGGACTGTCGGGCATCAAGTACAGCAATGACCAAAAACCAACCTTGGGCAATATAGCCAGCTTGTTACTTGCAGCACCCTGCGATGCATGGACTGACAGTCGTGATAATCAATCTGTGGAAAAAACATCTTCACTGGAATCCTAATTTCACAAACCCCCAGTTTTGACGACCTGTTTCATGTTAGGGTCTCAGCAAGCATAACCCTAATGGTCGTCAATCCATCAACAGGTGAAGCGTTGAGGACAGTTAGGGTTAATGATATAGTACTCAAGACTCATTCTCTTATGTTGCTTCTTGTGAAAACAGAAAAGAAAAGCAATCATCCACTATAAATCAAACCCTTTCAAAAGGTTAGTATTCCCTTCAAATAAAACAGAAAATTTAATCTCCTTAAATTTCTCTACCATTCCTATCCACACCGCAAACAGACAATCACAATTAAGCAGAATCTTACTGCGCTAAGCACATTTCTTGTTAAAAATTGAGCTCGGTTATAATTTTGAGAGGGCGCAATTTTCCTATCAACGGAAGCTCCTTTGGTCTGAACAGCACTTTGCTGTTTCACAAACGACTATGAAATGCGCGCGCTAAGGCCGCCTTGCTACCAGCAAAATGAACACTCCTGACCAACGTGGCTCTGTTCAACCAATGAGGGGGTACTTCTGGTCGAGGTGGATAGCTTTTAAGGCACATCCTGTCCTCAATGAAGCAGATAAAATCAAACTACTCCACACAACGAGATACACAGCTACTGACCTGTTGATGAGGTGAGGATCGTAGGTGCATCCCAAGGCAGCGAGCAAAACTCTCTCCTCGCTGGCCACACTCGTAGCCTGGTATTTATTCCAGCAGAACTCCCAGTCATCTCTGCTTCCGTACTTGACCCCAGCACAGTACACAGCACTCCTCAGATTGGCTGGTACTCTGCAAAGGAAATCGATGCAAGCAGTGATGAGGGAAACGGCTCAGAAATCAAAGTCCCGCCTGGAAATACTGCCAGTTAAAATCAGGAACAATCCCGAGAGGCCCCACATCGCCCGTTGGAAGCCTATGTCTGTATCTGAAAGGTCATCCAGTAAATCAAAAGTCACTTATCATCTGTAATGTGTTCATTTATTGAGTGTAAGTTCCACATGATATGCCCTTGATTTGTGGTTGAGCCAAGGGCATATGCGGGTGCCTCAGGCAACTGCCAAATCACCCACACCTTTCCATAGATCACAGCCAGAGTCATCTGTGGCTCTGCCAAACGAGGAAACATCCGAGAACTCAGAAAAAAGCCCGAGCGGCTCAAAATTAGAACTGACAAAACAACTCTGCTGGCATATTGCTCGGACTGAGAGTTGAAGTCAGGGGCCACAGTGGTAAGAGGTAAGCGCACTAGGCACGAGCCAACCTGTGCCAATGAGAAACAAGGGATCAAGGCTGTTCCTAGATGACTTGTTACTGACCTGGGACAGACTTACAATGGAGAATTCATTTCTACTCCAGCAACACGCCGGTGTCACACCATGCAGAGTGCATTCACATACTTTTGTGGTCCCTCCTATTTTTTGGTGCAAAACCAGAATATGAACCACATGCAGATCTTGGGAGATCCCGGGCAAGTGTTCCAGTTATTTGCCACTCTGTTCAGCCACAACCGGGGGAAATTAAGTCATTGAGACTATTGGATGTTGCCTTTCTAGAATGTTTGATCAAGCTGCCGTGTATTGGATGTATTTATTTAGTCTGGACATCACTCATCAGCAGAAGTGATGATATCCAAGAAAACTTACTCGGAATCGTTATCCCGCCACTCCCGGAAGAGTTTTGTGGCATTCTGGACAGTTTCAGGGTGTCCTAAAGCTGCAGCATCGTAGATAACCACACTCTTGAGAAATCTGCCAGAAATGAAACCGAACCCCAAAAAAGACCACTGTGTTCACCAAACAAAATGCACTTTTCAAATGCAGCACCTGACTTGTTATCGGTCTCTACCTCCCTAGGCACACTCTGGCCACCTGGCGAGGCCGGTTCACACTTTTAAAATCTACCACTGCGCAGAATAAAATCCTTGGCATCTTCTTTGCATGTCAACAAAAAGAGAAACATCAAACAGGGATTTTCAAATAAGGCCATGTTTGAAATAACATTCCCTTTCCTTTTTCTTCTTCAAAGTGACGATGTGGTAAGAAACGTCGCAAAAATCTTGAACAAAATGACCACCTGGGCTCAGTATTCATGGTTTGGTATCCTGCCGTTTTTAAAAAAGTCTGTAATTTTCCACTGCTGGGACATGTTCACTGTGGAATACTACCCTCCCTATGTGGTAAGGTCAATGTTATATGCAGGCACCTACTAAGGGCAACTACCAAGGGAAGAAGTGTTACATTTTCATATTTGATTTCCAAATTTACCCTTGTAAGTGTGGCTCCTCAGTGTGCCACCCATTTCTGCCGAAACGCTCCAGCTGCGGGGTCAGCAAACTCAGCACGTACTCCTGTCAGGGGGAGACAAGTCCATCTTCAGTTGTTGAAAACAAATCCCAAACTACACATTTTACAATCACAGAGCGCATATTCAGTCATGCAGACAACGTGACATTTTGCGTGGACTGAGGTAAATACTGGGAACTGTGCATGTACCCACCACAAAGGCGTCGTAACCTTCAGTGTTCCGCAGGACTTTGCCCATCTTGTTGAGGTTGTTGAGAGCTGCATAGAGGGGGCTATACTCTGTTTCCTTGAATAGATACTTCGACAGTTCCAAGGCCGTTGTCTCTTTTAACTGACCAGCCCTGATGAAGAGTCAATGGAAATAGTAGTAAAGGGGCAACTTGGTGCAGTTATCGCCAAAACAGAATTTCTGGAGTAATCCATGGTACATGTATACACCTACAGACTGGCAATGAGGTCACTAGTGCAAGAGGGTCCTATTTCCCGGGGCAAAAGGCCGGGTGAGATAGGACTCTCTTCTGGTCACTCACAGGCCGAGGGCGCATGGACGTGCACTAGTGGCCGAATTTGGCCAGTCCATATGTGTTTTATAACACACCTCATACTTGAAAAATATCTTTCGGGGTGTTAACTGTTTTAATTCATCTTTCAACAGCACTTAAAAAACTGCCAAAAAATTGAAGGTTCATTTTAGTTTTCAGAGAAAAGAAATCTTCCAGAGTTTGAACTGTTTCAATTCAGGATGATCTCCAGAGGGCGCAATAACCAGTCAAAATTTGTCAAGACTAGTACCTGACCAGGCATTAGTCTCTGGAATTGACATGCGCACGCAATGTCTAGGTGCGTGTCGAGTCACGCTGATGCCACATTTATGTACTAGCATAATAGTGAACCACACGTGACCGTGTTTCAGCCAACCTGGATAAAGAACCAGGAAAAGGTGTGTTATAAATCAATTTATAACATGTCCTGTTGGTTCTTTATCCTGGTTGGCTGAAATTTGGTCACAAAGGGCTCACTGATATAGGTGAGTACATGAAATTTGCCAGTCCGTTTGTGTTTTATAACATGTCCTGTTGGTTCTTTATCCTGAAGGGCTGAAATACGGTCACACAGGGCTCACTGATATAGGCAACTGCATGAAATTTACCCGTCCGTAAGTATTTTAAAACACACATCTGTCTAAAATGAAAAGTAAACAAGAAACTTCTCTATGTTTTATAACTAAAATGCTTTGATTCAGATATTAACCATAACTGTTCACCGACTACATCAAGTGAAGGCGCTGTAACCACTCAAAACATATTGAACATAGTACCTGATCGGGCACTGTGCTCTATAAATTACGCACACGCAATGTGATGGCTTGCAATCCAGTTCATACTAACCCAAACACGGCCTTATTCTGGCATCAGCCATCTTGAACCAAAATAGACAGATTCCTTCCCATTTCAGAGGGTTCAATAAATGAAGTGGATTCGGGGACCATTGCAGGTACTAGCCTAAATCAGTGAACCTCATGTAACCGTTTTTCAGCCGAAAGGGACAATTTAGTGGATCAATCTATAGAGTTAGAATGACTTGAGTGGGCATTCCCATTAATTAAGTGAAGTTTGCATGGTGTCATCAGTCCTAGAATCATGTGCTATACGAAGACACTCTTTGGAGGTAGTCAACCTTATTGCTGTCTGTGCATATACAGTAGGCCTACTTGCTGTCTTTCTGGTTGTGCACCATCTTCTTGAAATACGGCCGTGTTTTCACCTAGCTTTTGTGGCGGTCATGTAAGAGGCACCAAACATCAATTCAGAAACGTACATGGAAGTGTGCTTGTATTTGTGAATTTTATATCTGCTGAGCTCACAGCTACCCACAAGCTCATAAAATAGTCAACTGTGAGAGAAAAAAAAAAAAAACTTCTTGAAATACTTCTACAGCATTTTCATCCAGCGAGTACTGCATTGTTAGAACAGTCAGTGTCCTGGAGTGGGAGAAGCATCACATACCATGCCAGGCTGAAAGCATCATCTATCAGGTTGGCCCGGTCTGCTACACTGAGTTGAGCGTGGTTCCCCTTCAGTTGATTGATCAGTGCATGCCAGTTGCCCGAGTCGTAGTTCACCCTGTAGAAGCCAGACTGGTTGCTGTTTGCTTTGAACCAGAGGACGTTACCGCCTAAATCAAACGGAACCTCGGCTGCCGGGAGACAGAAAGCAATCGTTCACCTCGGTATCTGTCTATATGTATTGGTTTCCACTCGTAAATCTGCTATCATGCTTACTTCCTGTTTATCTGATTAATTGAGTCAATTAGTGAGTCTGAGCGGAACTCATGTGATGAACACTCAATCGTCCTGACATGCATAACCACAAGGAATTCCTCCCCGGTTACTTAGCTAGGAATCATGGAAGATGAGAGACTCCACATGTGTAGTCACAAATTCACCACATACTGGCTAAGCTACATTCTGCGTCACATCACACCGCATGTGCAGTTCCTAATATTGGGAAATTCTGCATTGCATTTGTATAGCATTTTCAAGGCACATACATGGACCACAGATATGGATAGAGGGGTGTTTTGCAAAATATAAAGTGTAGTTAATAAACGAAATCTTTCGAATAAAATAAAGTTTTTGTCTCTTCAATTTTTTTCACCATGATGACAATCCTAAATGGAAATCAAAGTGTGACAGGTTGGTTGGCCCCTTTCCGGTGTTAAAAACACCAGTTTATTCCTCTGAAAACCGTAAACCCGTATACCAGCTGTCCCAATAAGAGTGTGCCATTCACAATTTTTGGACACACCGCCCATTTCCACTGTCATCCCCACTTGACACTTTTACCCAGTTAGACAAGAAGAAAGACCAGTCTTTTCAACTTACCCTCATTCCTATCCATGGTAACACTCTTAGTCTTGAAGACATCATTACTGGTTATGTAGGTCAGCGGGATGGTCCAAGTGTAGCTGCGTATGTCGACACATATAAGAGCAATTTAAGCACAGCAACAATTGAGAAACAGCAGCAAAGTTTGCTTGTGAATTTTCCTCTCATATCCTACATATGCATACCATATCAAGTAGATAGGTTACATGCCTTACTCCAACATTATTTTGTTGAATAGAGAATTGTTATCATTAGCAATCATTATCATTATCTAGTGGCAAATCTGCTTTGTTTTTGGCAACTTTGCCGTCATTTCTCTTAGTATCAGAAAGAACGTAAGATATGGCATTCCCCCAACAAAAATGCCAACAGCTTTGGCACTTTATTTATGGACATAGCTCTTAGATACGATGCATAAAATTGCTTCACAAACATGCGGAACATGCACATGTGTTACCTTTTCAATGACTAAGGCCTAATCAAAATAAGCGTGTATTTATGGTAATGCCCTGAAAAACGATCAGTTAGTGGGCCAGAGAATAGTTGATTTTGTAACTTTTTCAAATGTTCTTCTTGTTTTTGTCTTTTATAGCGCCGATTGTCTTTTATGCTAATTCTTGAACTATTAACTGGTAACTAGTTCTAAATGGTTACAGCTAAAGGACGGTTTCTTCCAAACATACCCTTTGTTATTTTTATGAAAACCTTCGGCAAAAAAGCGGCTTTAAAAATCTAAATAGATTTGGCTGCTGTGAATGCATTAGTTTTTGTATCTTGGCCTGGGGTCAAACTATAAACACTCCATCTTTTATCCGACCTGATTCCTTTGTGAATCTTGGGAAACTAAGGCTGCATCCGAATCTATTGTCTAGAGCTAGGTCTAGGTCTTCGCTCCATTGGAAATGCGTGGAGACGCGTAGACAATAGACCTAGCCGTAGCTCTGGAAGCCCGTTTCGGACACGGCCTAAGCACCCAAACACACTTGACTTGAGTTTCTCTTGCAGCAGGAAATGCTGTGTGTTTCTGAATATCCGAGTTGTTTCTGCACAGCTCAGGAACACTTTCGTTTCTTTCCACCCAAAGCCTTCGTTTCACAGAGACTCAAGGCAGGCTACACAGCTATTCACAGTTTGATTGCAACCTTGAAACAGCAATGGTTCTCACTTGAAAGGAGAGACAAATTCTTTTGAAGGCTTGGCCTTGGGAGAGTGCAAGAAGTGCTTTTGAGTGGCAGTGACCTTGGTCCCTTTGCGCGACAGGGTGACCACTGGATAGCCCATTTGTAATGTCCAGGTGTCCATCATGTCCGCTATGTTCAGATCTGAGGTTGTGTATGCCTGCGGCAAGAAGACAGATGACCCTTGATTCCAAACGTTGCATTGATTAAAAGCAGTCTTAAATCCCTGAGCAGCTTAGGAACAATACAGGTTTTCAATTTTCTTCATCACGTTGAGTGCATGTACATGAAGGGGGCAATCTACTAAACGGCACACGTAAACTTCATGTGGTGCCTTTTCTTCAGTAGTATATCATAGTAAGGCCTGTATTTAGGGGACCAGTCTAGGGCAGAATGTTTGCAGAATGGAATTTTAGAACGTCCATTTAGGAAGATTCATGCGACAACACTCTTATGCGAGAAACAGATGTACTTTGGCATTTTCCTCAAAGAAATTTTTCTTTAGGGGGGAACGATCTTGTTTGCTTACACCCTAGAGCTATTGAAATGTTAACTACTTGCTGACCTCTGACACGGCATCCCACAAGTCCTTGGTCTTTGCATTGCTAAACTTAAACTTGGTCAGGTAGGACCGAAGCCCTTTCACGAAAACCTGGTCTGGGAGAGAGTCATTCAGCATTCGGATTATGGAAGAGCCCTAGAGTGGAATAAAAAACACCAAGATTATTGCAGCACGATCGTCGTAGCAAAATGAAAAGAAACAAAACAAAAAGTCGCTAAAACACTTCACAATAATATTTATCATTTACAGAACTTATCATTTACATGATTTACATTTTCAAATGCAGTGGTTTACTATGTGCTTTATATAGCACATGTACATGGGTAAATTTGGGGTCCAAAAGTGTGACATTTTTGTGTCCCTGTTACATTCTGACCTTTGTTATTTGACACGGAAATATCACCGGAATTGATTTCAAACTATTAACTATTTGTTTGGCAGGTAACTTGCATTAATTCATCACTCTTGAAAATTAGAAAATGTGTTCTGAACTTACAAAATCATATTTCAGATGTGACAGGGACACGAAAAAAAATGGACCCTGAATTTCTGGAATTACCCACATACAGATCCTATCCACAGTCACTGGAAGTCTCTCTGTTGTGCCTGGGGCTAAGAACTTTGCCTATTGTTCCGTGGCATGTCCGTGGCTCGATGGATTGCATTATACTTGCACAATGTTTAAACTCCAATTCAAAGCTAGTCAATGCAGAAAGCTTCAAAAGGATTTGCATACCGAACTGAGCATCGTAGCAAATGAAAACATTTGAGACACTCGTACCCGTTCTATGTCACCTTGATTGCGACAGGGAAACAGGAAACGGATGCTAATTGCTATTTGGCATTATTACCTGGAAATAACAAAACCGTACTTCGAAGATACTATTTCCATGCTTCCTGTACGCTCAACTCATCTATTTTGGAATACCCATGGCAAAGTTCTCACAACTGCTACCGTGAAAACAATTCCCAATTCTGACCCCAAAGTAGTAACACCTTTTGGTTAATATTCGCCAAAATAAAAATCTTCCTTGAGTTGCCTTCCTGTTTTTCTCGTCTGCTAGTTTTTGCCTAATGAAAACTGGGCAAGGCTGGAACACAGCGTCAGACTCCATAGGCTAACGATGCACTTGAAAACCCCACACAGGGAGCAAATGAACCGATGCATGTCAAAACACAAAATTGATGCTTCAAACACATACCGCACACAGCAGGGCTCTTACCTTGTCGTAAGAGATGCTGTCAAAGATTGCATTGATCTCGCTGGGATCGCCAACGGGCACGGAGATTGGGTGGGAGTTGCCCTGACTGTCGGCCTCCAATGCAGCCTGGACTGTCAGCACTGTAAACTGATCCATCTGGGCAGAGAATTTAAATAGACCCGACGTAAACCTCTGGCTACGCTACTATGGCACCTGTCCATGGGACAGTGTCAACTCTAGTGCTACAATTGGGCTGGCTCCACTCCAACACGGAGATGCCAATGTGTGCCTTAGGTTGGCACAACTCATACTCCCAAACTAGTTTTTATTTGTGTTTCTGGATGGTTTATGGATGAAACGCCACATTGGCATATTTTGAATGAAGTCGGTTGGGTGTGAGCTGTAAAAGCCTGGAGTAGGTTGAGACATGTTCTGTAGAAATTTCCTGACTAACTGCCGCCAAAGTAGGGGCATAACAGCTGCAAGAGTCTGTTCCAATATCTTTTATTCAACAAGGATTTATTTTGCTGTAAATATATCTTCAAGATGACTAACCGCTAATGAAACCTCTAAAACCTCTAATACTGAAGTAGATCAAAACTAATTTCATTTAATGGGGCCAGATAACAAGTCACAAAGTTCAGTTTGGCACGTGCAACTGTGTTCTGCTTAGAGCCCAATCCTTTCCTTAAATAATTCCATTCACATTTCACAATAATATCCAATGCAGTCTTGCTTCCCTTAATCCACAGAACTGTGTAGCTCAGACGTTAATATATTACATTGTTGATACAATGATGATTTTTAATGCAGGGACACATTATGTTCAAGCTCAGAATATTCCATTGTTCGCTCCCTGGGGTGTGAATGAAATCACGTTGCTGGTTCCCACCATCCTTTCGTACATGCCATGACAGATCACACTTGGGACTGCATTGGAGACGGTTGGTACTCACCATGTGCCAGTCTGGTTGGTAGTGGTTTGTCCCGATGTACTGGACGTATGTTGCAAAGCCTTCGTTTAACCACAGGTCATTCCACCATTCCATGGTCACTAGGTTACCAAACCACTGCCGCAAGAGAAACCTCCATTGATTTTTGTGTAATAATTATGCCATCACAGTTAAATGTTTTCGGCAGAGAAGCCGTGGATGGAAAACCATGCAATAAAGAGGGAGAAACTATTGAAATTGAACACCCCTTGTGGATGGTATTATTTTGGCTGAAAAACAAGATTTTTGAAAGCACCAAGATAATACATATATTACCCAACTTCTAAAATCAAGCCAAATGCCGCAAGTACTGAGTTGTTTGAACCGTATTTGTGCATTTCTCACAATACACTTCATCCTTCTGCATGACTGTGAGGCAGGGCAGAAGACCGTGCTTTGCATGTACAAAACAAGGTCTACCTCCATGCTACGAACTTGCAAGACAAGTCCATCCCTGCCACAGTGACACAGTGAGCTCCAAATGACTTCATCTGTGGAGAAATCCAACATGAAATGTTCTCGCTCCCACCTGATGCGCCAGCTCGTGGGTCACCGTCTCCACGATCCACTGCTTCCTACTAGAGGACGTGACGCCTTCTTGGTAGAGGATTGAGGACTCCCGATAGGTGATCAAGCCCCAATTCTCCATGGCACCAGCCGAGAAATCCGGAATGGCAATCATGTCTACAACCCAAGTACGCAAGGGTGAGACCAGAGGGTAAGGTAAAAGTGGGCTTCAGGGCCGGGGGAAGAAAGAGACGAGATTTGCAGGAACTTTGGTTATATCAGTGCCTGAACAGATGGGGTCAAGACACTGATGAATTTCCCGCCAATTTGGAATCATTCAAATCAGACATTTTCTTAAGACCGGGTTTACAAAAGATGTGAAAAAATTTGAAGAAAAATTGTCAGACATCTATGCAAAATCATCCTACTGGATCAAACTGATTATTAACATTTAGAGGGATGGTTTTGGATCTCGTGATGTTATGACAGTAAGGTGCAATATTGAATTTGCTGATCACTGTTAATAAACCCCCTTAAGTCCTGTCTCCAGGACATCCTAGGTTGTGGTCAACCGCCTGAAGATCCTAGATACAGGATATCCAAGGTTATCAGGCTATCCGCTGCGATCATCAAACCCAACATCTTAAGGTCAGCTAAGCATTTATTAAATCTCTAATGAGGGTAAACCTTGTTTGGACAGAGGGTATGCGATGTCAAAGAAAGTCTCGTAGAAGGGAATTGTCTTCTGCAAAACATCCAGCGCCAGATGGGCTTGGTCAATCTTGCCTCTAGACGTGTAGACAGCGATCTACACAGAAGGAAGATAAACACAAGATTAAAAAAGTCAGTTCAGTTCTCCTGAAACAAATTTTAATTGGACAAATTGTGAACCAACAAAGTAAACAATATCCAAGGCAATCAAATCTGCATGCAAGGACATGGAGTGTTGTATTTGAGTTCATCACAAGTCCTTCCACACAAGTCCCTTCACAAATCCAGTCACAAGTCCCTTCATACGACTGGTCATAAGGAACAGGGTGAACAATGACAAAAGAATGCTTTTGTCACAGCTCATTTGAATAGCTTGTCAATGTGCTTAAAACTCAAAGACTTGTGATGGACTTACAGGGACTTGTGATGGGCTCAAGTACAACCCTGTGTTACATGTAACAGGTTACTGCTAAAGTTGATTCTTTGAATTCAGTGACCATAACTGGCACATGCTCATATCAACTCTGTTTACCCATTCGTTTTTGTCCAGAGCCTGTCATGTGGGTGATTTCTAACAGATGTTTTAACCACTTTCCCCGGATTCATATGATATTTCAGTCCAATATTACAGGCTCCAAAACTCCTACATGACAATCATCATTGTCACATGGCGTTAGCTGTTCAACCAATGAGCCAACAGTTGAAATTTCACTCACACCAGCTCACATGTGTAGCTGTGAAAGTAGAGCTTTAAAGGCAAATTGTTTTAATTAATTAAAGGTTCAAATTTCCACATTGGGGTTCTTTTAATCTTTTGGAAGAAGTTCTGAATGCACTTGGAAACAGCCAGTTTTTACAAGTACATGTGACAGCCGAGGAGCATTTTTTTCATTCATTTATTCTAAAAATGATTTCCTATTTGGCATTTTCCGATCTGAACCGGCAGTGTCCCTATGGTCTTCCAGCGAGCTCCCGGCTACCAGTGCTATATCAAGTCCTTTCACAAGTTCCTTCATAAGTCCAGTCACAAGTCCCTTCACGAGGCCAGTCATGACTACCTGGGTGGACAATGACTGTGTTTTGGCTAGAGACTAAATGACTTGTGACGGACACGAATACAACACTGCCAGCTACTCACGTCTGTGCCTGTAGTAGTGGTGTTGGAGATCTTCACATAGTCACACACGACAAATGCCACGAGGTACGTGCTCATGGGCACTGTCGTGTTGAACTCATCCTTTTCCATGCCGTTGCTGAGCGATGTGGTCCGGACGAGGGCCGTGTTGAATAACGATATCAGCCGCTCGGCGCGGAGCATTTTCATGGAGAACGTAGCTTTGAGGGCAGGCTCGTCAAAGCAGGGGAAGGCTCGGCGGGCAGCTGTCGGCTCGAATTGAGTTGATGCTATGTATCTTAATAAAAAAAAAACAAAATAAAGGCATTTACAATTAAATTTGTAATAATCACAGCACAAGCTGGGGCTCTTTGAGTGACTGTCAATTTTTTGAGACATGCATTTGGATAGTTTGGGTTAAGGGGAAATAAAGACATTTTGAAAATGTATGAAATGTATATTTCTACTTAGCCACTCCCTTCTGCACCTTAAGATGATGGTCTGTGATTTTCAAGATCTGTCAGTGACTGCCAATTTTTTTGTTGCCAGTACAGCAGTTTCTGACAATTCTCCACTGGACACCACTGATTTCTTTCTTATCAAGAAATGTGAAGACACAACGCTCAACATGGTGGGATTCACAAAGAGAAAATCCTTGGAAAGCTAACAGCATTTCGTGGTTTTGTTTGGTTCTAAAGATCCTGTAGTCTAAAACAAAAGAGAACTCTGCATAACGAAAGGCCAAAGATCAGTGCTTAAAACGTTGAATACAGTCAGCCTTTGGACGATTCAAACTCTAACCTCTCCACATTGTTCTCCTTGTATGAGCTCAGGTAGTAGCCGTCCAGTGTGTCGGACAGTTCGTAAGAAAACTGGAGAGTGACGGTGTAGTTACTGCCACTGGTCAGTTCCTTGTCCAGGCCTAAGTACAGCTGCTCGTTCGTCTCGTAAAAGAGCATTTTGGTGACGCCGCAGGCTTTTCCATCCCCGATGGACGTCACCTGTGTAGGTTTGGTCACCGTCATGTTCTTGCAATGCATGATTATTTGGTCAGTTGCCGCGATAGCTTGGAAGTCAATTCTAACTTTTCCTGCAGCCTGGAGAGATTAAAAAATATCCATGTATGTAACACACAAGAAAAGATAGTGTGAAGTCGAGGGATCAACACAAAAACATAAAGCCGAAATTTTAAAGACGAGAGCTCAGTTTAGAGGTCACACAGGTCAAATGAGGTCAAAATGGGCACAATACTCGTTCATCAATTTTTGTCTAAATGGTCCACGTAACTGCATCATCTAACCCCACCAGTCCTTACTCCTCCAACAGGATTGAAGACTGGTGGGGTTAATATAATAGGCAGATAAGAGCTGACTTGATCAATTTTTGGCACTGCGACCTTCGTCCTCTTTCTTGTTGCAATATCTGCCATTAGGAATTTGGGCGTGTACTTTTCCAACAAGCAATGGTTCCCAAGGGGTGAGGTCATGCTAATCTCAATATGAAATATCCCATCCCAGGGGAAGTTGGTTAAGTATTTATTGCAGCAGTGCAACGACTGTATCTCATCAAGACAGTTCTCAACTCGATTTTTTTTCTGAGTTGGAAGTGTCCCAAATATCACGCTTCAGCTGGGCTAGCCTGATGACAGTTGGTAAATTTCGATATCAAAATTTCTCAACCTTCTCCATTTTTTGGCCAACTACTCATCAACAAAACTAAAAAAAAATGCGCCAGTTTACCACGTTATCTATGACACAGAAACAAGGTTCTGCCAACACATGTTGCTGATATGTACATGAAGGATGTTACAAACTACAACACACATGCTATGACATAGTGGGGCTGGCCCAATGCCGCATTATTATAGTTTATGTCGTCCCAAGAACAGTTGAGGCTGTCCCAACTACATGCATTTGGAACAATTTTATCTAACAACACCACTGGATTCCTTCTGGCAAAATTTTGAAGTTGTTACTCTCGCTAAAACTAAGTTATTTGTATCCACACAACCATTTCTATTTCCGAGAAAGCAGTAGCTATGTTGGTCCAATCTGTGTATCTGAATGGTCCATTAACTGCTGCATTGTGGGTAAAATCAAGCTGCCCTGTCAGCTGCAGTGCCATTAGTCGGCTGAATTTCTAATTCAAACCTCTGGACGATAGCTTTGAAAAGGGGAAATAAACTGCAGTTGGGAATTTCCAGCAGGATTCCTGACGTTATCGACAGCACAGTGCAATCACGAAAGATGGAACTTTTCCTCCATGGCGCAAATAAACCAATCTGACAGATACACAGGTACAATACAGCTGTTGCACAATTGTGCGGCACCAAGAATTTGAAACATGTTGGGCAATCACAATGTGCGAAATCTGTCGACCAAATGCACCTTTGGAATGGATCGACAGATTTTGCGTGTTGTCATTTTTGTTCTTGGTGGCGCATTATTGTGACTTACCTGTATTAGTCTGGGTAAGTACTAACTTGTAGTCTAAATCAACTTAAACATTTGGTCAAGCATTGCTCGGCCATGTCCAAACGTAATCAACAGGCCATGTAGTGTCCTAGTTAGTCGGAGTGGATCTACCATTTTCATGCTTAAAACTAAGAAAAGGGAAAGAGTTGACAACCTGTGCTTAAAGCTACCCATGAAACTGGTCTGAAAATTTCTGTTTTTCTCAACAAATACTTTAATATGTTCCCAGCTAAATTTGTCTTTTAAGGACATGTTAGCACTTTCTGATGGCTGATAAACCACTGCAGGGGCAAATTAGTCATGTCCATGTTTGGTACCCCCAGAACTGTGGGGTCTGACGCCCACCCCATAGGAGCGGAGTGGACATCGGACCCCACAGTTCTGGGGGTACGTGTTTGACACTCCCCCCCCCCACTTGGGTAACTCATGCCACCCCTTATGCTCATGCATAACCCAGAGAGTTTTAATTCTAGCAATTCTTGACGAACCATGGAGGAATTCCTTCCTCAATTAATCCAGCTAGGCCCCTAGTCATTATCTAAATGTTGACTAAATATGCCACTAAATGTTGACTAAATATGCCAAAGCTCACTTTAAAACCGGTCTGGTTGTTCAAGTGGGTGGTTAAAGTGAGATCGTAGTGGATTGGTTTCACTGATTTGGGCAGCCTGATATCATTCCACGGAAACGGTTCTCCATTGGTGGCAGTCGGCGCAGCCACTGGTGGTGACGAGGTGGTGACGGCATTGGGCGAGGTGGTGACGGCAGCGGGCGATGAGGCGGCGGTGGGCGGGCTCGTCGGCTCGGTCGGCGGCGGCACACACCGGGGACGAGCCAAGCTCGCGATCACGGCGATCAACAATATGGCGACAATAACCATGCCCACAAGCACGACCGCTGACACCTTACTGCAGCCTCTGCCTCCCCTGAAGCCTCGCCAGCCAACAGCCTGAATCCTGGGGTTTCCAGTGTCTGGGTTGGGCTCATCATCTTGGTTAAGAGGGGCGAAATCAAGCCGGTCCACTGAGTCTTCGTACGGCTCCTCACGGAGCGGACTGTAGTTGGCACCAGACGCCATTTCTACTTTTATTCATGATGCGTGCATGACAGGCGAGTCATACTGCGCGTGCACCCGGTACCCGGCCCCATACATGACACAAGCACTTTCACTACAATAGACTTGTAACAGTCGCTTTGTGAGACGTACATGTACTTGAAAGACTAAGAGGCTTGACGCTGCTGGCTATTTTTTCGATAAGATTGACCGGCGTTGGTTTCAACAACGTCAGATGGCAAAATCTCCTGCCTGTTGACATCTTTGGTATGTACCTCCAGAACTGTGGGGTTCTTGGGTACATATAAACGTATCGCAGCGGACAACGAATCCCACAATTTTGGGGGTACCAGTGTGGGTGAATCCAATCAAATTACGTATTTTGAAAACTACACTCTCATCTCGTTAATAAGAGCCCTTTTAATACAACATTTTATAATGAAAGGAAAGAAAGAACTTTTCAAGTCCAACTCCTTTATTCCTCATGTTTCATTCCTGTTATTGAGAAACATAAAAGATGCTAATCATCATGGTTATTTACGGTATATGCGATGCGTACAATGAAGGCAAGAGGACACGAGCATGAGAAATGAAGAGAGCAACAGCATTCGTCATGTTTTAAAGAGGCTCCACCTCGATATCAGGTGAATCTTTACAATCTCATACTTCAGATTTCTTCCTGAAAAAGGTACGCTAATCATGGAAAGAAAAAAGAGAGATTCTCTTATTTTCAATTTTACTTCTACGTGTATTTATTCCAAATTCAGTTTTTATTAAAACTTTTGCACACAAACCAGAGAGAAAACACAAAATGCATTTAATATTTTTCAATAAATTTATCAAACCTAAGACAAGTTTAGGTTTGACAGATTTTAAAAAATATTACCAGTCAGAGAGTAAAGTACAAATTGATAAAAAAATCCACAGAAATAATACTTCCTTTTTTATTATACCGCCTGATAGTGACGATCAAACTGTATTTGATCAAACTTCTCCTGTAACAACGTTGCTGCCAGAGATATTACTGCTGGATGACTTACACACTCTGCCACCATCTGCCTTATCTCTTCGTCACGTAGTTCAAGTTTGACCTCTGACCCAATCTGCTTAATATTCAAAACCTCCTGGTCGCTGTGAACTGAGTGGGCATGCTGGCTTTCTTTATATATCTGGCCTCGGCATTTTACAGGGAAAACAAAAGCAGGCAGCAGCTCATTCGATTGTTTTGGGATTGGTTCGTCTGAATCGGCTCTTGGCAATTTTGGCCGAGTTTCAGATCCTGTTGTCTCGCAATGGGGTCTTTTCCGTTCCCCTCCTTCGTTTGGATTGGCCACCATCTTGTCCCTACTGCAAGGACCCTTCTCTTCCACCTTGAGCCTATGACCTGTGCCTGCGTTGGAGCTATGTGAAGGCTCGGCGGAGTCAATACGGCCAAATCTGCAGCTGAATGGGCTGTTCAGTTTCAACGCCTCATCAACCTCAGTCGGTGGTTTTCCATCTTCACTTGTCTTCGGAGGGATCTTTGCACCTTTCATTCCCTCATTCTGTGCAGTCAGGGCGCTGTCTAAGTCTGGTTTGTGAGGCCAAATATTACGGGTACTGTTTGCTGCATGCTCTACCGAGTCTCTGGCCTCTTCAGTAGTGCACGCCTGTTCTGATCTGCATGAACTTTCTTGGAGCGCTGCCCTGACATAACTGTAATTCACCTCTTCAGAGCAAATGGCCTGTGAAAAGTATAAAGAGGAATAACACTGAATTATGAATAGTGTATTGAAAATCCTGATCAACAAGAGGGATATGCCAATTTTTTTTAAATTTGAACATGATTGTGATCACATTTATCTATAATCATACACGGCATTTTCTTTTTGTTATTTTTTAGCTTCCTCTGTCTTTGATGGGAAAAAAATTTGTAACGACTTATCATTTCCTGTAAAATAGACGGCTAATTTCAGAGAATAGGGTCCAAAAGAGAGACATGGTTGTGTCCTTGTTACATCTGACCTTTGGTGTTTGGCATGGAAATATCATCAGAATTGATTTCAAACTATTACTATTTGTTTGGCAGGTAATTTGCATTAATTCATCACTCTTGGAAATTAGAAAAAGTGGTCTGAACTTACATCATATGTCAGATGTGGCAGGGACACGAAAAAATGGACCCTTATAAATTTCTGGAATTACCCATTTCATTTGAATTCATGTTCACAGCTGTCAGTGCTTTCTAGTACCCTCAAAATATTCTCATGGGTGCTTTTTGGCAAGCGATTGTACATGTACGCATTTAACTTTTCACAGCATCATGTCCCTCCTGAGTTTTTGTTTACCTCTGTTGGACAGACCCATTTCCTGGGACCACATGAGTTGGACATGAGAATGGAAACGAGTAGTCTGGTTACGGCCTCCTGCACTCTGCTCTCCCTGTCGCTCTCCTGTTGAGGGAAAGAATGTAAATGAAACTCGCTACATAATTCACTCGGCAATAATTCGGCACTTGATAATTTTGGAATAGGAAACCTGTGATTATAATATTTGTCACATGGTCATACTTCAGAATTTAAAACCAGTGGCCAATTTCAAGAAGCTGCTACAGCACAAAATTTGCTTAAGTGCGAGAAAAGCTTTCTTGATAAATCAGGTAACCAGCCAAAAACTCCTTGTGATATATATTGTTTTGGGATGGTTTTTAGCTGTCTTTTGGTTATCTTGACAATTGGATAGACTTTGAACTGGTAACCTTTGTTTTTTTAGCAAGGTTTTTTCATGCTTAAGCAGATTTTGTGCTTAAGCAGGTCTACGAAATTGGCCCCTGGAATTAGACATCTCTTTTTGTGCGTACTGCAACTCACCACGTCCACCCACGAATTGATGCTGATTGACACTTCCAGGGACTCCACGAAATGCCACCAATGCTTGGGAACAAACAACACCTCTCCTGGTTCCAGGGTCAATACGTACGGCGTGGATTCCACAAATTTGGGGTAGCGGTCAACGGCTGGGTTGGCGATGTTGATGGGGCTGAAGATGCTGGATTCCTCATAGGGGATCCTTGTTGGGTAGAGGAGGCTGGTCTGACTTGGAGGAAACAGGTGCCATCGTTTTCTGGGGAGAGAGGCGGGGGATTCATGAGCAATAGACTATTTGGGCAGATATAGTGAGGGCTTTGACTCAACTGAAAAGTGCCGAGACACCCTTATGGATTTTTTTGCTGGGGAGCGCTTGGGAAATCTTGCATTGGGAGGGGAGGGGTAATACTACATATATGTCGTTGCTGCCATTGGTGATTCCATTTAATCTCTTTGTTTTGTCCTTAACCGTACATGCAACATGGCCTATGCTTTTTTCATGGGGTCTTCCAAAAATGCCAATGCGGATCCATGCCTGACCGTACGGTTACCCTACCTAAGTGTAGGTGTCAAGGTTTCATGGCGATCATAATTGACATCCTAGAGGCAAAAGTGGTGGTGCTCTTACTGAGTCATGTCACTATCATCCCACGCTCTTCAAGGCCCTCTTAATTTGCCATCAACATTTTTTAAGCTAACCGACAATACCTATAATCCAACAACAAAGCTTTAAGGGTTGGTTTTCATCATTGGCTGTTGAATGTAGCATCAGTCAAACATTTCTGTGACAAAATTTAACCTACAAACAAGTTTTATGCAGTTGGGTACACCCCAAACCTTACAGACAAACTACCTGCCATATATCTGAGCCACCAGGTTGAAACCATAGGTGTCATAATGCCCCGGGGTGAAGGCCCCTTCACTGCCAATCCATATGGTGCTTTGCCGGCCGTCACGGTGCTCAAATCCCAGGTCTGACCAGCGCACAGCCTGGAACCAAAACTTTGCAAAGTTCATGTCTTTCCAGATCCTTTAACATCAACAGCTGCCTGGAAGCTGGGGAATGGTGCAAGACTAGGAAGTAAAAAGACTGGTTACCAGATACCCTGTCCCCGACAAGTTAAAGTAGACTGACGATACACTGGTTTTCTGCTTGGTATAGGGTTTCTGTGGGGGGGGGGGATTTTGGGCCTGGATGTTCCAAGCAGAAATGTCAAGGTTTGTGACAAAATTTAACATCAAAATAAATGGAGAGGCCAAGGCATACATGAATATCTAAAGCCTAGCTAGAGTGTCAGTCACACAGGTAAAGGCTGCATTTACGCCACTTCCAAGAGAATCAAGTTTTTGCTGATGAGAACTTTTCCATGGGGCACCGTGGCTAAGACGAGGCCAACGGGAGACAAAGTGTCTTAAATCAAAATGATCCAGTCAGTAAATTAAACTTTCATAATGACCCGCCCTTTTTCATTTTAAGATTGAAGACTGTGCTCTTTCAGGGAAAGAAAGTATCATGCTACCCTCTGACCCTTCCCATCCCATTGTTGACCGAAAACCATGCACAAGTTCTACAATTTATCCGTCTAAATGTAAGCACACCTCAAGAATCTCTGGGTGATCCTCAAAGAGAAAAGCCATCTGTTTGTAATCCACATAACACCAGTGCTCTCCTCTGCTGTATTTCAGTAATGGATTCGGGGAAGTCCCTGACCAGGCTGAGGTAGCATCACTCCTCAGCCACTCACAAAACTGATGCAGCGTTGCCTCTTCATGGACACAATCTACCTCCCACAGCACTGACTCTTGCATGAATAGATAGTGGGCAACTCTTTATGAGTAAGTACGTAACACCAGGAAAAAGGCCTAGTACATAAGAAAGAGCAACTTTTAAAAATCACCTTTTGGTGGTTTTAAATTTGTGTTTACATTCAATGGTTAAGTTTGTCTACCTTTTGTTATTTTAATAATCACAAGGGTGTTGCAATCTACATGTATTTTACATGTACATGTAGGTTTCTATCTGTGTACCTGAAATGGAAGCAAATACCAAAGCAAATGATTGTATAATATGGAAGGGCTGCGTAGCATCGTGATCAGAATAATGACAAGAATATAATATCAAATCACTGCTCTGAAATATGTGATTGCTATTCAAAAAGTAAGTTAGTCCAAATGACCAGGATGACTGTGTTTGATACTGTGCTAGGAAATATAAGCCTTTTTGTAATCTCATGTGCGCATGCGCGAACTTCAACCTAGCAATGGAAAGAGAAGATAAACAAAACCATCACGCTCTGTGTCAACGTGTCATTTGTACGTGCCATTGAGGGGGTGCATTCCACCAAATCATTGGATTTCTGTGCATAAGCTCGTGAATATTTTGTGATCGAACAGGGTTTTTACAATCAGACATGTATGCCATAACCAGGAGGGATCACAGAAATATTTCTGTAAATCCTGAATTTGGGACTGGTGGTTTCCTGTTCAGGGTATTTCTTGCACAAAAAGCCCCAGCCTGCAGGTTAGAGGTGGGCTACATTCAGAGCTGAGTACATAGTTTTACAACTATTTTGGGAGTATCTTCGGGGAATGGCGAATAAATAAAAATCGCATGGCTAAACCCTGTAAAATTGAAACGAAAAGTGGACTTTTCGTGGTCATATTCTTGAATTTCCAATGAAAAAACAGGCGGTGCCATTTCGGTCTGATTTTGTACTGTTTTCTATGGACGCATATGTAGTGCAACCTTGAGGGAAAACTTCCCATATAATTGTGAGTCTTTCAGTGCTGGCACTTTCTAATATTGAATCTCCTCTCAACTTGGGCTAGCTGTTTCTGAATTCATGACAAACCGAATTTCACGAATTATCTCATCAATGACACAGATTAATTAACCACTTTGCTGTAATCAAAAGGCATGCGCGACCATGTTGTTGCCAGTGGCAACATGTTGTTTATCTTCCAAAATGGCACCATATTACCCAGCTCCACTAGTGTGGCACGGACCCTCGCTACCGCTCCATCGTTAGCCACACATCCGTACATGCATGTATGCAATTTTCTGTCGGCGTGGTCAGGTGGTGAAATCTTTGGCACACCCTCTTAATCGTAGGCACAATTTTTTTGCATACACAAATGTTTCATTAGCCTCTCGGAGAGACTCTCTCCGCTTTCGGATGACCACTATTTGAATGATGTCTCTCACGTTGTTTTGGTAATTGTCCATTACTCCCAATCCCAGAACTGTGCAGCACTATACTCCGCGTGCCTCACGGTCGACAGTTCCCTGATGTCACTGTCACTGTGTCAGTCAGGTGCACGAAACAAAAACTCACCAAGTGATTTAGCAGAATGCGGGCCAGTGCGGATCGTTACTTTCTTCTCCTGTAAAACTGATGCTAAATAATTTGGAGACCACTGTCGTGAAGGCCAGCATTCAAGCAAACCTTTTAGCACTACTGGTTCTGTAAAAGTCTCGTTCAAGCGTTTGTAAATATCCCTTGAACTTTCCATTGTCATCTTTTTCTATTCGTGGGAGCAGCCATATCAAAAGTCGCCCTCTATTGACGTTATCAACAACATGAAGAGCGCCACCGGGCAGTGTTATCAAGCGAAAATTTAGCTTCGTTTTTATAGCCAGAGGTCGAGTTCGGGCGGCCTGTTCTTGTCACGGGTTTCTTGTTCTCGCGCTCGAACGGCGGGAACACGACTCAAGAACACTGTTCTCGGAATCGGATCACACACCACCTCCTCGTCAGGGTTTTACAGGAACACACGGAAAAACTCGTGAGATTTTGATATTTGAACAGCTGCAAAAAGTAGAGAGATAGCTTCCAAAGCCATAGACAATGGGAAGTTTTGCAAAATTAACATTAATTATTTTCCGTAACACAGAAATGAATGTTCCTGTTTATATAGAAAAGAATTCAGTCCATCCAAACATTAACTCTCGAATAACGTAGCCGACAGGGACGCCTCCATGTTGCATGTTGCTTGTCACTAACTACCAACGGTAACCGGTTGTTTGTTCCCCGTTCGAGCGGCCGACCCACGAACAACAAATCGAGCTGTTCGTGAACATACGGGAACAAGCCGCTCGAACTCGGCCAGAGGTACTGCAAATGCGTTATTATATTAATTTTGCTGAACTAGCCTACTGTTTCAAGTTCACTGAATGAACTTGAAGCCTGTCGTCACATATGATGTTATTCGATTAAAAAATGACAGTTTTACAACTTAACTTAACATTTAAATAAATTTCTGCCTATTTCTTGTATCAGCACCGGAAACTGAGAAGTATGTAGGTTTCGGATACCTTGACCCGTGACCTTGTCATTATATTACCGACATTTTTTGGGACGCCGAAAGAACTTGCATATTTTCATTGAATTTCCCGGCCAAATGAAAGATTCGGAGGTCATGATGGTTATGAGTCTTCCCTGTTTTTACACGGAGCAACATTCGGGCAAACATTCAAGCCGTAAGCAAAATGGATCATCCAATTTAATGAGTTTGAAATGTAAAAACAAGCACTTTCACAAAACAGTCAATTGGTAACCAAATTCCATTCGAAGCAGCTCAAGCTACGTTAAAATCCGGCCATCCGGAGAGTCTCTTGCCAGTAGCTAATCCAGCATTTGTGAGATGCCACCAAATGAATTCAAAATGGCATTAGGTTATTCATGTGGAATTCACTTGCACGTTCTGTGCATTGGTGCAGCGCTGGTTTGTCAACGCTCGGATTACCGATTTACTGTGAAAGGCGTCAAACTCCAGTACACATAGGGAGATAATCACAAGGCAGCTCGAGGGGATAATGAACATGCATGGGAATTTCAACTGTGGATAGTGAACGCTTGATGGGGTGTGGGACACTCATGACTACAATTATTACAACTGACTACAAAGCTACACCGAAAAGTGTCTCAGGTCTGCTGCAGTCAACCTTATGCATGCCATTTGCACAGACTTTCATAACTGTGTTTAATCCTTTTGTATCTCCGTATTTTCTTTCTTTGAATAAAAGAAAAATGAGATGCTTAAAAAACAGGACTTCAGTAACCTTGAAATGGAAATAAAAAGGGAAGTAAGATAAAGGATATACATTTTACATAACGATGAAGAGTCCGCATTATGTTTTCGCTGAGTTCCCCTTTTCTTTGATGCAAAAGTATAAAACTGAATGGGAAAAAGTGCAAAAAAAAAAAAAAAAATCAGTCGTATGCAAAAACACTATGACCACGCTTTAAACGCCTGGGCCAAAAATGTTTTCATGTTCTGCAGCATATCGCGCTTGCCGCCAGGGAGACGTCATAATGACGCTCAAGACATTCCATAGATCGTTCTGGTGCAGCTCTAATGAATTCACATTCACAGTCAATATCCATTGATCTTGATCCTTTGATCCATCTGTGTTTCTACCTGGTCCCTCTATTCTCCACGTGCCATCAGATATCTTAATGCTGCATGAACATGGCATACCTTTTCGTCTCACCGCACGCCAACCTTTTTTTCCAAGCTTCTTCCGTTCGTGATGGTTAGCAGGTGTTCTTTCCCCTCCGGTTCTCTAACTGATTTTTATCAATGTGAAGTGTAAGCAGGGTAATGATACTAAATGTTGCAAAGATGAGGTCACTCTGTCAGGATTTTTGTTTGCCATCAGTCCTACTAATCTGATTCCGGCGATATAGACGTGCCCTAGCTGGGCTATAGGATCAGGTAACAACTCCCAGGGAATCACGTTTGGGGGTAATTGTTATTTAATTATCGATTTCTGTTTAATAATTCACTCGTGTCCTGTCTGATCAAGACTATAGATTGCAAAAGAAACGAGCGTCTCACTGGATGATCACATTTCCCCGGACAGGTTTTTAGGATGCCGTGCCTGTGGCGCGCGGAACGTGCGTCAACTCACAATGCGTTGTCGCACACCCGCACTCGCTATCTCGAAAGGTAAAGGTATCCATCGTGGGTTGTTTTCTTACCACTTGGCTGGCCACAGGGACATGCATCCTCGGAATTACTGATCACACATTTTGGCTCCTCAACCCCATGTCTGAGTCCAGTGAACTTTGTCCAGTCCTGCACCAGGTGAGCATTGACGGCATTGAGAATTGCTCTGGCCAATATGCTACACGTGTGGACAAAATCGTTTAATTGCTGTCGTTTAAGGTATTATGAACAAAATGACAACAGTTTAATCATCACGTGTGCTGGATCAATTCACGACTGCATGTTCATTTTCTGAACGCGCCTTCGATGCCACGCCCATAATGCCGTGCCAACTGCAGTTTCTCATTTATATGTTGAAAGTACTCGCTGCATACAAGAAATGTGCCCGTTAGGTCACAGTGCCCATGGGGTTTACATAAGGTGTACGCATTTGACGAAAACGGAAGGCATGATCGACACTCGTGGAGCAGGGATGGATCTTCCCTGCTCGGCTAGTCATAGCGGATTGTGGTGTTCGGAAATGGGTTGAAGAAACCTGACTCAGAGATACCTTCTGCCTTCTGCATGACAAAATACTTGTGAGTGCTAAGAATTACACCACGATGTTGACACTGGGAGTTCGAGTTTAATCTGATAATCTGAGAGACATGCATTGGGGTGGGCACTCCACAGGACGGACAAAATACGAGGGGCAGTGGAACGGCTATGAAGAGATCGAAATATAGACCAAAATACACTTATTTTATAATCAGTGCTCTGAATTATGTAATTGCCGAGCTTTCGGTTACTGGGTACCTTCATCAGGGCAAGCAGATTCAGTTTTTGCCCTATGGAGAGATCGAGGTGGACATTGTAAATCGTCACTCTTTTTGGTCTATAGAGAGGATCTGGATCTCACATCTGCTTCTGATGTGTATTAAGTCATCCTGGGCCCAATTTCACGGCGCAGCTTAGCACGTGACGATTTCACGCTTACAGGGGCTCCGCGTATTTCATGGAGACTGTCAGCAGTGAGTACAGCTAAAGACATGATGCTAACCTTGGAGGAAAGATTTGCTTGAATTAAGTGACGTAGTGACAGAAATCTATATTTGCGCACAACCGTTAGCACAACCATAGAGGCCGAGCACCGCCATTAAAGGCCTTGTCCGAAACGGGCTCACAGAGCTACGGCTGGGTCTAATGTCTTGGTGTCTTAACGTGTCTCATATGGAGCGAAGTCCTAGACCTAGCTCTTGATATCAGATTTGGACATAGCCAATTTAGCAATTTTTCTACTAAATAAGCACGACTTTTCTGCTAACTATTAAACAGCGACGCGAAATTGGGTCCTGTAAATAAGACAACATAGAAGACTTCAAGAAAAAAAAAGTTGTATAAGGGGTACGATTCTCTGATATGAATTCAGATTGTGAGTGGCCCACAAACGTATATAATGTTATGAGTACAGGAGTGACGTTTTGTAGGATTTTCCACTTTGAGCGCCAGCATCTTGATTTCCAGGTTGATTTCAATCCACTCTCATTGAGCCAACGGCGGAATCCTCAAACCCCCGACGGTTTCTCCGATATCGTTGGAATGCCTTAATTTGCGAACCGTGCTTTCAGGAGTTTTTTCCAGTAATAACGATCATTTCAACACCAATTCTGTGAAAGTCGGGCATACTGTTCTCGTGGAACGCCCATTTTTCTTAGACAGGTTGGCCAAAAATCTTCTTAACGAGTTCAAAGAACGTGTATGTATGATTATCACATGAACTTTAAACGACCGCACACACAAAGCCCATGGGGCTACAAAGATGCACTTATACTGAATGTTTTTACAAGTTTATATGCATGCAAAGATTTTAAAAAAAATCACCAGATCGGGCTATCTGAAAACCTCCAGCTCTTTTAGGGTTGGAGGCCGTTGAGAAGGAAGGTTTTCTTCGAATGGATCATTCCCCTCAGGAAAGAAAAAAAGTGAAATACAGGAAAAAAATCACAAAACGCAAAAACGGGAATGATCACGAGATTAAACACGGGGACAGATACCAATTAATTCAGAGAATTGTCCAGAAAGTAAACGAGCAAACAAGCTCGATATCAGAGAATAGCCTTGAGACCCGCCTACGACATATTGGCATTCTCCAGCCGCCGCTGCAGTGAGGTATTGTGATTTTAGTTCGACGATCGTGACTGAATTGCAAAGGCCGGTCTCCGTGCTCCGGCGTGCGTCATCTCACAGTCCCAGTTGTGGCTGACGGGCTCTGTATCCATGGTGCATTTATGAAAGGACAGATTCCCGACGATAGCCACTGTATGAGGTTCGGAGGAACGCAAACCATTACCTGCACCCAACAGCAAAGTTTAATCGCTTTAAGCTTCTTGAGTGAGTTCATCAGCACGAGTTTTCAATTAATCAATCAGGATTCATTACACAAGAGGATTTATTGTAAACTCCTCAACTGTCAGTCGTAGTAGTCACTGTCAAGTAGGTGTCACTGTTGGTGAAACCATTTAACCAACGTTGCTTGGTCCCTAATAGCACACGCAAAATAAGACCCCTACTTGGTTTACGAGTTCAGTGGGCTTCCAATTAACCTTTGGATGTAAGCCCCCCCCCAAAAAAAAACCCGGCAGTGAACAGGAATGCATGTGACCCCCAACCGTCAGTCTGGACCCGCGCCTGCTGCACGTTCACTTTTATTTTCGTTACCTTTACCCCGTCTCCCTCTCGACATACACCTCCGTAGTTCCCACTTGGGTTTTCGTATCGGAAGATACTGTTGGATTTTAGATGTGCGGTCTGACAGGGAAGCTGCAGTGCAATTTTTTAAAATAATGCAAACCTTAACAATGGGCTTTCACATGTCAGCTATAACGTCATGTTCAAGTTGTGTTTTAGTGTTTTAAGTGGTATATTGCTGGTTTTTTTTATATTAATGAGTATTTCCATAAACATGAGCAAAACTGTGATGTAATCTCAGGAAGAGGCTCTCAGTGTTTCATTGGTTTGTGCCCAAAAAAGGGCCCAAACTGCTGGCCTCAAATTTCCTTTCTTCGGTGATTCATTGTTGTGTTTTCACTGAGTTAATGTTGGGTTCACAGTTTGAACAAACCCCATGCCCTGAAACATGTCTTCACTGGATTACGTTGCAGCAACAGTGCCCTCAGTTGTCCAGGAAAGCATGGACAATTTTTTGTTTTAAAATTGCACTTTTCAATGCATTTAACCGAAAAGAGATGTCAAATAATTTTTATACACTGAAGGGGAGTAAAAAGTGGCATTAAAATGGAGTCTCAAATAACTTCGTTGCCACTACACTTAAACGTCTCCTGATTACTCGCTAACATCGTCGATCTCCAGCATGAGGCCATACATATTGACGATCTCTGGATGGAATGAATCATTGTCACACTCACAACGCCACTTCCCAAATAATTATTCGTAGAATTCCATACTACGCGTTTACCAGTGCTATCAATTTCTCTTAAACTTTCTTTTCAGGGCCCAAGATGCTTGCCATGCCTTGGCTCCAGCAAGCGAGAATGTTGTTTTCGAGCACGTCTTGTCTTGTCCCGAGGGATTGAGAGAGGTTCAATCAGCAAACACCACTTCTGATGATGAGGCAGCTTCGATGTAATCTGTTTTCTGAAAGGAACAGGTCCATTTGGATATGCCTCTGACGCGGCCTGTACCTGCACTGTATAGCTGGATATCAAAATCATTGCCCAACATCTGAACATAGTTGTTGCAGCATGACCTTGGGTGCAATAGAATTGATACTTTCATATGACTTGTTGCGTGTGACAGACATGAGTGGTACTTACAAAAATATTATGTAGTGTACAGGGTTATTGATTGAAGAAACACGCATGAATGGTACAGTGACGAAAAAGGCCCAGGCCAGTCCATGAAGTCCTTCGCCTTGACGTCACACACATTTTTGACGACGCAAGTTTGGAAGTGAACAGAGTTTTCTAGAATGATAACGTAGTGTGTATACACTTCTTATCCTTGAGTTTACTGTTCATCCAAATCGTATATACCTGCTTCGCTTTTCCAAGCTTATTATTAACAACCCTCGAAAAGGTTTATTTTGATTGAACAATCTATTAATTAGAGTGACATTGTCAGCCTAACTTGTTCAAAGCCTGAACGGATTCACTGGCTTTCAACTCGTGGCTCTCATTCTGTATCAATATGCAACCTCAGTGGGATTTTATTGCAGTTGCTGCCCAGGTGTCAACAGTTAGCAGGGCGCATTTTGGAGATGTTGATTTCAACTCGGATCAAATGGAGCGGTGTTCTTCAGTTTCTCAATACATCTGCAGTTACGCATACAGAAAGGGTGAACATAAATTGATGTCTTATTCACATTTTTAGAGGCGAAAGGCGATTTGTGGTAACACTTTCCCCATCCACCCCTTCAGCACCCCCCACGAACACCACCCTGAGAAATCATGAATCTAGTAGCTATTTGATTTCGACTGAATACTTGTTTTCCCCAACTTAAATAAATAAATCAGCGTACAGGGCCCGAAAACTTTATCACGGTCGCTACATTATTTTCTTTGACATCTCTTGCAAAGTTATCAAAGTCGTTGCAGTACGTCTTGATAATTGTGCCTGACATGTCACGTGCCACAATTCGATCAGTCTGAATCCCCGTCGCCTCTGATCGATCCCGACCCTTAACCCCTTTTACCTTGTCCCCCGGCAACATCAACCTGTACATGTTTGCCTTGTCTCTTCTGTGATCTCAGGCCAGCTTCGAATTTCCTCGGACAAAACAACCTGTGAAAAAAGCTCAGTACGTTTCACCGTTCTGCTGCGGATAAAGTGACACTGTAGTTAAATTTGGACTGCAAGCCATTGACATTGGAAAGCTGGTATTTTTTGTAACCCAATTTTGCGTATCGAATGGACTTCAGTGCAAAGGTTTCGGGGTTACAAATTAGTATTAATGTGCTTTGGGGTGAGCGACACCCTCTCTCTGTGCGTTTTTGAATGACAGAGCTACACTCTTTTAGTTAAACTTGCCTCAGGTACACCGGTACGTTCTACTAATAACAATTTCATGTGAAATAAATACGCGGCCAACACACCAGAGTTTAAAAAATAATGTTGCCATTAACGATTCGACACAAGGCAGGAGGCAGATGTTTCCCTTGCCGTAACGACGGTCGTCTAGGTGCTCCGTAGCCATTGGACGTGACTGCGTCGATCCAAATACTGGCGGGAAGGTTCATTCAAACTATAGGGGGAAGGTTCAATCAAATTACGCTGAAAAACATCCAGACAGGCGCTTGTGCCTGACGGAAGAATCACTGCCAAACCTCCGAAGTGAACTGTGTTGCTTCGCAAAACTCGTTCGGAGGTCCTCTTGGGTCACAAGGCTGGAGGAATTAAACAGTGTTATTTTAAAATGACCGTACCTGCTTCATCATGCATCAATGAAGATTTGTCAGATCCTGTAATTCCATACATTACCTTGAACAATGGGAAACACGAATCTTATCTGAGCCCAAGCTGCAGTCAGCAATGATGGATGTCTGCGTTACTGACAGCTATGGGTATTTCTAAAAGTCGGCTTGCGACTCATACATCCTATTTCTAGCTCAAACTGAGATTTCTCGGACGTAGCCCGTAATTCAGTCGATTGGGTGTCAGTGTACACGAATAGCAAATCTCCACGCGTAACTTTCATTTCGACTCAGTCACGTCTTCAATTACAAATGGTCCTGTTGGACGCGGAGAGCTGGAGCGGATTTAATCAAAACTGTTCGGAACAAATCGCCTAACGGTCTCACAGTAGATTATCGTTGACCCGATTGGCCTCATGTGGCGCTATGCGAAATCAGGCCAACTGTTAATTATTCTGATCAACATTTCGAGAACGACGAAACCATTTTATACCACTTTTTTTCCTTTCTACATCGATGCACTATATTCACACTGTATTCTCAGTGTGATCCGAGAGATCTGAAAAAAGTCATTCAAAGGATTCAAACCTAAGACTTCTGCTCACTTGTCCTGCTTATTGCATTTTAAAAAATCTTTAACCCATTGATAATCAGTGGGAATTTAGTACACGTAATGGAAAAAAAGTGTCTGAACGTGTAATGTTTCATCATCTGCTTTTTCGTGGCTAATTTGAAACGTTTGTCATCCGAATTCATGGATTTGTATATTTGAATTTTGTCCCGTGAAATCGAAATTTGTGCATTTGCAATATTTAGTTTTGTCGTTTTTCACCTGGGTTTCGCTGAATTCACTACCCCACGAGTACGAAGTCATTTGCGTTTGCGAACCACGCTAGACAAAAACAAAGTCATTTTGTGATACCCAATTTCTTTTGAAAGAGTTGGCTCATTTTCCCAAAACTGCAAGGCTACATTCGCAGCAGATGACACTGAAATCACCAAAATGGGTAATTTCCGGTTTTTATCTTTGTCCTTTCCCATTAAAAGATATACTGTAGCTTCTCACAAACAACCTATACCTACTGATACCAATTAAACCCTCTCTTAAATATCCCTTCGAGTATTCCAAACTCAGGCAGACCTACTGGTTACGTTAGTCTTTACGGTTACTTCACAGCAGTTTGGAAATGAACCCGAAACCTTTGATTTTTGAAATGGGTTACAGAATAGTTTCGTGCTTGTGAACCATGCCGCCATGTATGTAAAAAGACGTGAGGTTTCGCTACATGGTCACTTTGTTACAGCCTGCTCTCCATCTGTTTCCATCTATTGAAACTTGATGCGTTCATTTTACCATGGTACCGGTACCGTATCGCTGCTTCAGGGAAATCAGTCTCATTTCAATCAATGTTTGTGTATTATAGTCAGCAGCCACCTGCGGAAACCCCAAGACTATTTGCGTACATCAAGGAGGATCGAGGGAAGGGATATAACACCATGCACCTTTTGGCAAAGGGGGGGGGGATTTTTCATCATTAATAGAATCCTATCTACCCCTCAGGATAAGTTTCTAGCACCGTTTCTGAAGTTTTGGCGCTTCATTTTTTTTTTAAATGGCGACGCGTTCCCAGCAGACAGTGCCCTCCTCCGCTATTATTTTACTGACAGCGTTCGGATAGGCTTTAAAGCAAACGATGTTGAACATCAGCGCGGATGCGGTAACAACAATCCTAGGAATGCAAAACTAACCACCATGAACCGCAAGAAAGTCGTTACGTCATAATGCCCATTATTCAGGTAAACGTGTATTGTTTCTGGCAGCAATTCTTTATCGGCTCCTGTCAATATCTTTGCATATTATTTTGTACAATGCGGTGGCTTCATGCCCAATTTTGCCCAACCAAATGTGAGATGGCAACCCCAAACAGTGCCCCTTTTGAACCTCATCTTTTTAACCCGGTCATTTCCTGCAACCTGTGTGTTTCACTGTGACTATTGAATTTTGTAAGCAAAAATGGGCCTTAGTAAACAAGATGACCTCCATCCGCTATCCGCCTTGATCAGAAGCACCCCCTCATTGCCATGTTGGTGGATGGTGTTCATTTTGTTGGTAGCGCCGCGACCGCAACGCGTGCAATTCATGGTCCTTTGTGAAGGAGTGAGATGCAATTCCCACCAAAGGAGCCTCTGTTACTATAGGAAAATTGCGCCCTCTCTTGGTGGAGCCTGGGGCTCATACATCCGTGAAATTTCATTCAGTCTGACATGTTTTATTACAGTCATTTAAATCGGTAGCAATCTCATGCATCCTATCATTCGCAATACGATCATTGTGGTTATATCTTTCAGAAATAGGCATTTTGAGAGAGAGATTTGCCTTATTTAATGAAATTGATGTCATCAAAACTGCAGGACAACAGTGCACATTGTGAAAGCTTGGCATGGTTTCAAAAGTGTATTGCGATGATAGGGCCTATAAATAAAAATGTGTATGGATCGGGGCTGTGGCCCCGCCCCTCCACGCTTTTCGCGCCTGGCTTCTTAAGTGAACCAGTCTGATCTAAAATCACTCCAGTTGTCTAAAAGTGCCACTTGGTGTATACAGAAACTGTTTCATTTTCTCTATTCTAGCTGTTATGCAAGGGTATCGGCAAAGGAGGGACGATAGCACATCATTCACACATTAGCACGATCTAAGCTCTTCTTAGTGTTCAAAACCGACGGAGGTATTAGAGTGCTATGTCTCCTTTTGGTAGAGACGTGTAAGCATAATATGCGTTTTCAGAAATTAGTGTGCTCCACGCCATCACTTCACACTCAGGTAAGACTGGCGTATCACATTTGCGCCAAACCAAATTGCACATTTGAGAGCGGCTTGATTCGATCCCAAAATAGATTTAGTTTCAGAGAGATTTACTTAATTCAAGATGCGCGTGAAGTGCTGGAGATTCCAAA